TTAAGTTGAGGAAAATCTAATTGAATGTCATCATTGCATCTCTACAACTTAGTACACAAAGGGGACATACAGAAGGAAAGCACTTGATTATATGTGCAGCAAAAGTGAAGAATAAATATTACACTTTTTTTTTTTACTGGTTTTGTAATTTTTCCCTTCCACTTAAACTCTCTATGCCTCACTTTCTTCACACAGAAATTGAGAATGCTAGAAACTGCCTTCCGTACCTGGTTCTATGAGGATCATATGAACACACTTTGTAAGTCCAGCAAAGATGTGCAGAATATCACCTACCAGAGTAGTATATACAACAGTGCCTTGAATCTCAAATTAATGCATACGATAGCTTAAAATTTCACCTTCGTTTTTCAAAAGGTATTATTTTGCCAAGGAAATTGTGCTTTATATCTGTACATATTTGCAAGGAACTCTGGAGAGTGAGCCATGGACTCTACCAGGATCTAGGTTTAGGATGTAATAGGCAGCACTGTGCCCACACTTAGATAGGAATAGGGCAAAGAAAACTGATGACGTGGCCAGCAGGAGGTTGTTAAAGTGGGGTGCAAGATTTGCCTTCTTTCTCAGAGTGCTCTTTTTCCCAATGATTTGCCTGTAATGGCTAAATGTGCTGCTCAAACTTCCTTCTAGGGGGCAGCAGTGCCCTGGAATTTTGCCAATATTCCTTTGTCTCTCTAAACCTAGTTCAGTGACTCAGGTCTTCAAAGAAGTAAGGTGAAGAGAAATAAATATGCTAATTTTGTTACTGCATACTGGTACTAGAAAAAGGGAAGAGTTTACCCAAAGTTGTTGGGAAGAAGGGTTGTTGGAGGTCATTTATAAAGAAAACATCAAATATGGTATAGTTAAGAGATACTAATCTATTACAAAAAACTATACAGAGGAGAGAAGCCCTCATTTCATTATTGGATATACAGTTTATTTTCATTATAACACTTAATATATACTTTATTGCTATTAAAATTAAGGTTATTAGGGAAAATTTATGTTATTTAAAGATTAACAATTTGGGACATGAGTTTTTAATTATTTGAGAATTGAAATCTTCTGAACTAAACACTTTCCCAGAAAGCATAAATGACACTTTTTGGAAGAAATGCAGATAGACCTACCTCTGACTTAGACTTTCTTGAATCTGTTTTGATTTGTTAGAAATATGTTTTGAATTGATGATTTTTATTCTGAATGCGGATTATGCTGAGCAGAAATGAGTCCACAACTTTTGACACCTTTATTCATCCTTTACTGGTTGAGACATGAAGCCATACTAAATCTTAACACCGAGTTATACATGAATTTTTATTTCTATCTCACTTGGCCATATTCAATTACAGCTTTAATTATCAGAAGCTTATTAAAAGTTTGAAAAGTTTTATAGTTTTGTGTTATGATCTCTTTTATCATTTTCTGCTAGACCCTGGTCCCAAAGTTTTAGGATAGGGGGTTATGTGCTGAGAGCATGATGACTCACGTGATTTTGCTTGTCCAGCAGGAGAAATATGGTGGCTTTATTAGTTGCTGCTAAAAATTAACCCATAATATCTTTCCTTTTCTAACACCATTATTATCTGGGTGGAATGAAGAGCACTCTCACTTCACATCTTGTTTTTAATCAAATGTTCTTGTCATGATAATTTGTCCTGAATTTTATTTAACAATACTTCAGAATTTTCATGGGGGTGAGAATATATATATATATATATTGGTTGCCCAGGGCTCTGAACTATTCTGAAATAATCGTGCTTATTATAACATTAAATAGGAACTTTGCTTGATTGTCATTATTTTGCAGAATATATGGTACTGACATTTTCCCTTTTCTCCAAGGGAGATAAAGTAATAGATCAAATGGGAAAAATTATTCTCCAAGTTATATATAAGTCTTAATTTTTTCACCAAGTTCTTGCTCATCACTCTTAATTACCAAATCTTAGAGCTAAGAAAAAAATGCATTGCCATTAATCATATCATGAGACTTGATATTATTTATCTAGAACATATTCACTTTTTAACAGTTTTCTTCACTTAACATTTGGCAAAAAAGAGCAATTATTGCTGGAAGAATTCAAATATCCTTCAAATCACTGTTCTTTTTTTTTTTTTTACATTTCCTTGTCACTTATTAAAAAATATTTTACATACTATTGATGCAAAGGGGTGACACTTTTAAGATAGATTCAGAAATGCCCCTGGAGTATCAACCATTAGACATGAAATGTGAAATTCTGTCATACTGATGTGAATGACTGCTACTATAATCATTGGCTTCAATTTTATTAGGTTTTTATTAATTAAATGTAAAGTCGACCATTGGCCTTATAAAAGTGCTCATCTGTTTTCCTTTAATTTCAAATAGATTAGAAATAAGATTTGGCGTTAATTAAAACTTCGAATTTATGGAGATTTTAATTGCAAACAGCATTTCAGTGGTGAGCATGTAGATGACTATTAGTTCTGTTTGGTAATAAACATGGTATTGAACAATGACAGGATGAAAAATAAATTATGTGAAGAAAAGTATACCACTCCCGGCTCTGTCATCCATGCAGCGCCTGAAATCCCGTGTAGCTGAGGGCAGATAAGAGGAGAAGCTCAGCAGCTCAGGAGCTCCTTGGTGAATATTCAACTTTTACACTGCTGTCTGGAAATTCCACTTTTATTTAAAAAATGTGGATGGGTTTAGGAACATGACAAATAAAAATGCAAAAAAAATTATTGGAATTAATCCGTTTAGGGGAAATACTTGAATATCATATTCTAGAAATATGATTGCATCTGTCTTTAAGTTGAATCTAGGTTAATATAGGTTAACTATATATGATGTCCAAGAGGCCCCTGGATTTTCATATTTTATTATGTATTATCTTGACCACAGCCTGTTGGCTAAACAAACAAACAAGCAAAAAAGGGCTATCTTCTGTAGTGACCTGTGGCACAGGTATTTTCCAGTTAGCATCTTTGCGTGTTCTCCTTTGGCATGAGTCGGGTTTAGCCTCGTCACGCTGGGCTTTTAAGGGGAGCTCTATCTTTGCAGCCCAGACTACCTATGACAAGATTAAATTGGCACACTTTACTGGATAGCTCTTGTGTTCCTGGCGGTGCTAGCCTGGCTGATACCTCTGAGAGAAGGCTCAGCTGTCACTCAGTGACCCATTAACACCACTGTTCCATCCTACAGTGTCATTTTTCTCATTCTCATGGAGATAATGCTCCCTGGAGATGTCCAATACCTGAAGGAATGAAAGAGAACAGCAGAGGGAGGCTAACTATCAAAGAGAGAGCAAATAACACAGCAAGACCATGAATTCCAACAGCAGAATTTTAAGTTGAGCAAAAAGAGGAGGCCCATTATGATGGCTGGGCTGGGAAGGTGGCGGAGGATCAAGTTTTAAGAGATACTGTAACTTTTTAACAAGCTCTTTTCTACTTCCTGCCAGAGTGTCAAAAGAAGTGTTCAAAAATAACACCTGCAAGGAGACCTAGAGAAGCCAGCTGCTTTGGACATGTCATAGGGAAATTTGGGTAAGGATTTATTTACAAACACGGATCTTGCATTTTATTTGTGTCTTTATTTATAAACAGGCAGTGGATATAAAACAGGATGCATTGAGGTAAATTGCTTAGTAGTCTAAATAGAACCAGATCCCTGGATATGACTGTGGCTTATTAGGGTACAAAAATCACCTTCCTAGTAAAAACACAAAAAAGGAAAATGATATGTGATCTCTGTAACCCCAGACCTTCAGTTTCTTTTGTCCTGTGACACCGGTAACTGAACTGTTACCGGTGACTTAAGCAAACTCTATAGGTCTCTTTCAGTCCAAACTGTATATTATATAGTGAGTCACCTTACACAGTTACACTTTCTAATGATTACTATAAAGAAGTACTATAAGAAAATGCTTCTCCATATCCTGGACTAAGACTGATTCAATTTAGGTCGATATAAAAGCCACCTGCATCTTGATGTTTTCTGTGGAAACCCAGAAGACCTGGGTTGAAGGCCTTACAAGGTAAAGACAGTAAAAAAAAAAAAAAAGCAAATTAGAAAATCAGAATAAAAATGGACATGATTCAGGATTATTATAAGATGAGGAAAAGTGCCACATCAAAAACTTGTTGGTGGTTACCCACAATCTGCATCTCAACCCTACCTCCACACTTTCCACACCAAGCAAAGCTTATTATTGGGCTTAGACTGTCATTCTATGGTTGGGGTTTAGGTATCATCAACTGCCTCCCCCAGACCCTCCCCTCAGGTGACACAAGCACTAGAAACCATAGAATAAATGTGCCATATTCTTTTGGAACACCAACTTCTCTTTTAGAAGTGTGTGTTTTTAAAGTCAAGTATGTAAATCATGAATAATTTGCATCTTTCTTTTTACATTAAGATAAATATGGTATATTATGGAGTAGGATACAATGTTCATACATATTCTAAGAACTTTTTTAAAAGACTTTATTTATTTATTTATTTATTTTTTTATGATAGCCACAGAGAGAGAGAGGCAGAGACACAGGCAGAGAGAGAAGCAGGCTCCATGCACCGGGAGCCCGACGTGGGTCTCGATCCCGGGTCTCCAGGATCGCGCCCTGGGCCAAAGGCAGGCGCCAAACCGCTGCGCCACCCAGGGATCCCTAAAAGACTTTAAAGAAACACTGGTAAGACTATCTTGGGCCCATCCTGTCAGAACCTTCGTGTGTCTTGGGGGACCCCCCCCCCGCCCTTCCATTGATCCAGGGTCAGGATGCGCTGCTGTGGTGTTTAGCAGGGAGAAGGGACTCTCGTTATTAGGTTTTAGCAATGACTATGGCACTGCTTAGAATCGGGGTGTTGTACGGTCAGGTGTTCGAGGAAACGAGGCGACCTTACGCAATGTGGTTGGAAGGCCCGGGGCTGGCCACCCGGTGATGGGGCGCGGGGGGCGCGGCCTGTGTCGCCAGCGCGGTCACGGTGGCGCTGCTGGGCGCTGGCGCAGAGGGCGGCCCCGGAGGGAGGCCGCGAGGGCAGCGGGACCCCTGGGCGGCTGAGGATGCCGGCGGCCGCCGTCGCCCCGGAGCCGCCCGCGGAGTGCTGGTGGCACCCTGTAACTATGCACACGATGCTACGTTTGCAATTAAGAAGTGCGATCTTTATCGATTAGAGGGGGGGGGTCCCCCCCCCGCCCCGGTGACAACCGTGCTCACCCGGGAGGATGGGCTCGGATACTACCGGGCGGTGCAGTTGTTCGCAGCGCACGGAACTGAAGGCGGATCAGCTGTATCCGTGGTTTCTGTCACTTGCGCGAAGGTCAGGAAGGTGTCGCGTGGGCCTGGAGCCCGGGATCAGCCCCACCGCTGGCGTCAGCACCTCCTCCGGGCTCAGGGCTCGAGCTCCACTCGTGGGATCTCCGTGCGACCCGTTCTCGCAGAGCTGAGCGGGCGGGCGGGGGCTGGGCTCGAGGGAAAGGGGGGGGCGATGCACACACAGGTAGGCGACCCCGGTTGCCCTGGGAGCTGGCGTCGCGCAGGCCTGTAGGTACTAGGGGAGCCAAGACGTCTGCCCGCCGCTCCTTGGCGATGGCGCTGCGAACCAGGGATGCGCACGGCTGTCGCGAGGGCGGCAGCCAGCCCCGATTGCTGCGGGAGAGGACGCTTGGTCCCTGGACCGGCGGAGGGTGGAAGGGATGCTCCGTGAGTTCGGGAGGCAGCTAAGTTTGCAGCGGCCGCCTGTCCATCCGACAAGGGGCCCGTGGTGATGGAGCCGCAGGCCTGCCCTTACCACGGACACAGCCTGAGCGACCCTGGGACCGCGACCCTGGGGCGCGGACGCGGGGAGAATCCAGAGCCGGAGACGTTGACGTGAGAGCGATCCCATTAGGCTGCTCAAGGACAGGAGGGCAAGCACTAAGCTCGGCAGCACGGAAGCGTCCAGGGAAATCGATGTGGGAGTGAGACAGGAAAGTGAGGACGCCGCCCAGTTTGCTGTATCTGATCCTGAACCACCTTTGGAAGAATGAGGTCATCACAATCCCACCGCGGTAATCCACCTTTTGAGGTTCGTGGTGCAGATCTGTGGATCAAGTTTAAGTCCCTCAGTTAAAGGGAGACTGTCATGGATTTATTTGCAGTCCTTCAAAGGAACGTTCACGGTCCGCTTTAAGAAGCCCGTGTGCCCAATTTTGTTAAGCAGGAATAAAACCCGTTAATCCAGAATCTTGTAAAGGTATACGAAAATAAATTGAGATGATTAAGAGATTACTAGAAAAGATTAAACGAGATCATTGAAAAATGTGCAGTTACAAGGCATACCACACTGCACTGTACATGGCTGCTTTAGAAGAACAGTACAGTTAACCTTTTAGTGTTATTAGAAGGTAAACTGAGGCGAGTTAAACTTTTTTTTTTTTCTTCAAGAGTATGTCTGAGCATACATTACATGGATTGGAATCAGGCAAGGCCAAACCAAAGATGATTAGGAGTGCTTCATCGACAGGAGCTAGAGGAGGCTTTTTCATAGAGAAGCAAAGCAAGGAAATTATCTTATTGGCTATAACTTCAGCTGCTGCTGGGAGAGCCTACCTAGCTGTTTGTGATGGCTTATTTTTAAATTTCATTTTCTCAGTTTGAGTGCATTGACTCTGGCTTAGGTTTTGGTTTATTTACATAGGATACCAAGGCATTACAGCCACCTTAGGCTGATGGCCTCCTTATTTAATTAAACAATGTGAATACCTTAAAGATTATTTTAAGGTTATATAAGTCTAAATTAGGAAAAATAGAAAAGGTCGTTTAACCTTTCCTGTTACTTGCTCTAATAGTTCTGTTTGATTTAGCTTTATATTTGTAAATACAAATATAAATATGAATATTTATAAATATTTTTCCTATTTAAAGGAAAAATAGTTCTTTGGTTCCTTCTCCACCCTGACAGGAATTTCTGTGTAAAGTCAGTATCCTGAGGTAAGAAAAGTTTCAACCACATGAACCTATCAGGCTCCCTATCATGCTTATGCCACTTACTACAGTCTACTTGAATTAGCCAATAATATGGCCTACTGTGACTGCATGCCTCTACCCACATACGTATGCATATTCAATATTGATGCTGAGGCCAGCTGACACAATTTCCATGAAATAGGGTATAGATATGGGACAAGAACATTTTTTCATGTTGTACTTTAGTAGTGCAATGCTTTCAGTATACCAACTTAGGAAAATAAGTTAAAATCTATGGCAAAACTGCATGTTGCTTTAAACTTCAAGTTAAAGCTACTTTTATTTTTCAATCCATTTATCCAATCATGTGTTTCATATTTTAGAGAACTATCCTGGTGAATTTCAGACTGGAAAATGAACATGAAAAAGAGATAAACCAAGGAGGGGATATTAATAAAAATTCAGTCTTTGCTTCAGCAGCACATATACTAAAATTAATAAAAAGTTGAAAGTAAAAGCTGCCTTGGCTAGAACTGAACATTCACAAATAACTTTTCTCAAAGGAAAATCTAACTTGGATCATACAGGTTTGGTTTTCTCTACAGTCAGTACAATGTCAATTAGCAAGATATGACTTTGTGAAAACATTTTTACTTGGTTATATTTGACTAATGATCAAAAATCCTATTGAATATGGTCGGCATATCTTGTTTCGCTGAGACAGGCTTACTGAAATCAGATATTAGACTTTGTTATCTAAGAAATAGTTTATAGAAAACATCAAAAGAATCAGCTATTAATAGTTAAAACCTGTCCAAAAGATATGCATCATGATGGATGTTAAGTAGACTTATTGTGGTGATCATTTCATATATACATATCTCCAATCATTATACACTTGAAATTAGTATGCTATATATCAATTATATCTCAATGTGCAAAGAACCTAACATCTTTATTTTTTTACTATACATCTGCTTCTATGAATAAAAACTAGAAAAAATATTAAAATAAAATAAAAATAAAAGCTAGATCCTAAGAACTCTAAAGGAAAGCCAAAACCTTAAGTATATGAATATATGTACACTTTTGTGCAGGCTTAATCTCCATGCCTTATACCCCCAAAAGGTTTAAACAAATATGATAGCCTCAACATTTTAAGTTCAGAAGGAAGGGATGAGAGTTGGTTGTTTATAAATCAAGAATATTACTAGCCAATGTATTTTGTGTATGCAGTTTCAGTTTAAAAGTACCTTGATTGGATCCCTTCCATTAAAAACAAAAAAGTATTTCATAATACCATCAAAATAATCACACCTTTTGTAAGACAAATAATTCTTTTACTTTTTAATTTATTTTGATATAGTTGCATTTCCATAAACTTGCAAGTGGAAGATAAGATCTTCAAAGCTAATTCTCTTATATGCTACACAGAAATTTTTAAGGTTTGCTTATACTATGGATTATTTTAATACCAGTAAAAATTGAGATACAAATAATTGGTTAGAAACGAGTCCATCATAAAGCCAAGATACACAGATAATTAATTTCAGGAAAAAATCCAGTCTTGCTATATTATAATTACGAAGTACATTTGTCACAATATACATGATCAAACTCCATTAAAGCAAGGAGTTTTCAATGTTTTCCATAGTAAAAAAAAAAATGTTCAGGCTTCTGTGTGTATATTCAGCAAGTTTAAGCCTATCACAGCACACAATTATGTAATGATGCAAAAAAAAAAAAAACAAAACAAAAAAAACAAAACCAAAACCAAAAACAAAACAAAAAAAACCCTGAAAACCCTTAGTTTTTTTCAGTTAGGTCACACTAAATTAATAATAGCAATTACTTATAAAACTATAAATTAGAGCAGAAAGAAATGCAGCAGCTGGATTCTATTTCCTATCTGTAATACCATGCAACTCAATCTATTTTATCCACCTATTACAAGACCTAATAAGCTGTGATGATCATAATAAAAATTTCACTGTTGCAACAATGCTAGAATATCTGAGAGGAGAATTTCTAATACCTTCATCTTTATGATACCCTATAAAGGTAAAGGATTGTGTGCATATCTGCGGAGTGGAATGAGAAAGGAAGTAGGTTAAGAAAAGTATATGAAGGGAATATTTAGACATATAAAGATTGCATTTATTTAAACATTTGATATTCCTGCCAATCTAGTGTACAAAAAATAGAGCAGATATTAGTAAAACTTACTCTGATAATTTGTGAGGAAGCTAGTTTTTAAAAATTGAAATATAAATTACATACCATAAAATCCATCTTTTAAAATTGGTTTTTAGTATGTTCACAAAGTTGTGTAACCATTACCACTACCTGATTCCAGAATATTTTCAATACCCAAAGAAAGAGCCCATACCCATTATCAGTTACTCCCCATTTCCCTAGCTCTTCATTGATTGGAAAGTACTAATCCATTTTTGGTCTCTGGACTTGGGTATTCTTCGCATTTTTTTAAAGATTTTATTTATTTATTCGTGATAGATATAGAGAGAGTGAGAGGCAGAGACACAGGCAGAGGGAGAAGCAGGCTCCACGCTGGGATGCCGACGCGGGACTCGATCCCAGGACCCCAGGATCCTACCCTGGGCCAAAGGCAGGCACCAAACCGCTGAACCACCCAGGAATTCCCTATTCTTCACATTTTATATAAATCATAAAATATGTGCTCTTTTGTTTCTGTCTGCTTTCACTGAGCCTAAGGTTTTCCCAATGTTGTTGTAGCATACATCACGTCTCTTTTATGACTGACCAACATTCCATTTTATTGATCCATTCATCTGTTGATGGACATTTGGATTTTTTCCACTTTTTGGTTGTTATGAATAATAAAAGCTAATGTTGATGAGAAAAAGTTCAGTTTTTTCCTTATAAAGACAAGTACAATAGAAATTTTAAAAGTATTAGGCCAAGGCAATGCAACAGAATCCTTATGCTAGAATCTCAATTAGATAAAATAATTTAAAGATATCTTAAAATATTTTCAGCTCAAATATTTACCAACTTCTATAATCTAATTGGATTTTGATTTGATAGACTAATTTTAGAACAATTTTAGAATTACAGAAAAATTGAGAACAACATACTAAATTCCCATATGCTTTACACCCAGTTTCCCCTATTAGTAGCATCTCATAGTACTTTACGGTAAGGGAAGGGTTATCACGATAGGCCTAGGTGTCTCAAAACCTTCACATCCCAGGGAAAGGCCTGTCTTCACACTCCTGGGAGATAACTTCTGAACTCCTAGAACATTCTACTTAGTAAGAATGTTTCTGTATGCCCAAGGCCGTGGGCCATGCTATATCAGTTTGTCCAGATAAGTTTATCTTAATAATGTGTCCCCATGTTACTCCTTTGAGAGGAGATAACTGGAAGCTCGTGCCTAGTTTCTCTTAGAATTTTATCCATGTGTTTTTTTCCCTTTGCTGACTTAGATTTGTGTTTTTCCCCTGTAATAAGTAATAACCAGAAGTATAACCAAAAATCAAGTTTCTTAGTTATACATAATAAATATATATATATATATATATATATATATATATATATATAGTCCCAGAAATAATAGATTGCTTGTTTAAGAACATATAGCTATTGATCATAACTACTCTTCTTTTTGCTAGACTGTTTTGGAGTACAAGACAATATGCTTAGCATTTTACATATAATATCTCAATGTTTATAATATCCACATAATATAGGCATTTTAATCTTGACTTAGAGAAGAAGAAATTAAAAGTCAGCTTAAATAAATTACTCAAGATTTCACAATTTATAGTGGAGATAGGATTAAAAACCAAGCAACAAAATCCATATTTTGAAAAGTACATTTTTGACTGCTTTTAAATCATTGCTTCTAATAATACTTAACCATGCAACAGATTTAAAACAGTGTATTAATGAATGAATGAATGGAATTAAACTAGACCAAAGGATTTTACCAATTACTTTAATCTCTGAGTTCAGATTTTTAGATTTAGTGTAGAAATACAGAAAGAAAATCCAGGGAGAAACAGATATAGATAATAGGAAGTAGAGCAGATTAAAAAAAGTCACACAGGGCACCTGGGTGGCTCAGTTTATTAGGCACTGGACTGTTGGTTTTAGCTCAGGTCATGATCTCAGGGTTGTAAG